GGCATGTGGTGCTGGGGGATTGAACCGTGGTCCCTGTGCTTTGCTAAGCTTGTTCTAAGTAGGTGCTTTAGACCACTGAGCCATCTCACCAGCCCCTCTCATTTAGTTTTGAAAATCTAAGGTATTTGCAAAGTCTTAAGAATACTGTTTCCCACCAGATTGGAACAATAAACATAATATAACCAGATTCTTAATAAGTAACGTCTTACAAATAAAAACACATTTAAAATAGCTTTAAATGCATTCTTCACAAGTAAGTCAGTATATATTTTTATATCATGTCCACTTATGCTTAATTAAAGCAGGTATATTACTCTGATGGAAACAAGGAAAATCTCTCATTCATGCACTACACAGGAAGAATATTCAAGTCAAAGGGGGAAAATCCCACTTATTTTTGTAAAAGTATCCAGATATACTCATCTACATAATAAATGAGGAAACTGTCAAGTTTCCTATGCGTCAGATACACATTTTCACTTCATCAGAAGCACCTGATTATCGACAGCTAATTTATAATAAGATGGCATTTCAATAAACCAAAATGGGGCCAGAGATGTAGCTTGGGGCGCAGCGCCTGCCTGCCAAGCGTGAAGGCCTGAGTTTGATTGCCGGCACCCCAGAAAAATAAACCAAAATGAGCCGTATAGGTTCCTACCAACAAAAGCTTCGCGTGGACTAAGGATGGCCAGGAATTAGTGCGCTCATTCAAAGGACATGGCTGTTCCTGAAGGAGTGCAAGTTCCGCCTGTTAACACCAGAGGTAATCATTTTATATTAATTTATACGTAATCCACTTAGATTCTTTATCCTAGTATAACATATGAAAAGTCTTTCCACAAGCAAAAAATGTGGAAACATTTAAAAAATAAAGAGTCATTTTTTTTTTTTAAAGAAAGTGATCAGATTCCATAGGCTACTCTTGGAAACAGGATCATGCCGAATAGAATCCCTTCGCGCGGTGGCTTCTGCATGCATTTAACCGGACCACCTCTTCCATGTGTTGTTCTAAGAGCTCACCAAAACATAGATCATGCCATATAGGTAGTAAAAAAATGCTAGGAGGTAAAAAGCTAGCTTGCACCATCTTTCTTTCTGACAGTATGCTAGGATGTGTGCGTTCCTGATGGTAGTGGGGTTGTAGAGTCCTGGTCCGCTCATCACCGGTCTACTTGTGTACCTCCAAATATGGTACGCCAGGAGGGGAGTACTGAGACCCAGCGTGAGCCACTCTGCTGCACAGAGAAACACGACACAGAAGAACGCATGGATGAGATACTTGGGGAGGACCAGAGGATTCAGGGTATTACACTGGTCTATAGGATTCTTGTAATCAGTCTTCAATTCATCAAACGCTATAATGTGCCAGATGGCGAAGAAGATGAGCGCGGCGGTGAGCAGGAGCGCCAGCATGTAGCAGAAGGCCGCGAACGTGAACGCCACGGCTGCGGTGGAGCGGCTGGCGGCGGCGCCGGTGCCGGCGGAGAGAGGCGACACGGGACCCGCTGGGTAAAACCATTCGCTTCCCCCGGCCGTGGCCACAACCGCCGCCGCGGCCGGATTGTCTTTATCACAGCCTGAGACACAGCTCAGAGAGGGATAGTAGGCAGGCAGCTTAGGATGACACCACTCATGGAAGGCAGAGTCAGACCCTGACTCCAGCCCTTGTTTGTATAACCACTGCTCTGCTCTGCCTCCAGGGTTTGATTTGGTAAAAATTCAGGACCCATAAGATTCAGAGGGCATGCAGAATGGTGGGGACACTCTGGAGGCCTTTCCAAAGTGGGGAGGGACTAGGCCTTGGGCCCTGGAGAATTCCACCAAGTCTTAGGTAGTTTGGGGGACTGACCCAGGGTGGTGGCCTTCCCTAGACTCACAGCTCTCCCTATAGAAGGACTTGGGGATAGACATGCTGCTGAGCCATCCATGTGTTCTTAGCAGTAAAGTTTAACTGGCCAGCCTCTTGCCAGGGCAATTTGCCCAGCATTACCAAGTGACCCAATAGTACTTGGAAGACTGGAAACCCACACCTTGCCCAGGCATTCAGTCTACAAGCTGAACTAGATATGGCATCCTGCCCCTAGAGATCAGGACGTTTGTGAGGCTAAGGTGAGAGAACTGCTTGAGCCCATGAGTTCAAGACCAGTTTAAAGTTGGGTATGGTGGCATATACCAATAATTCCAGCACTCTGGGAGGTTAGGTAGGAGGATCAAAAAATTTGAGCCCAACCTGGACAATTTATCAGATTAACAAGACAGTGTCTCAAAGGGAGTGGAGGAGGATAATCTGCTGACCAAGCAAATCTTGTCAGGCCAAGATCTGGACACAGTCTGAATAAGGCTAGAACCACGGCTGGGTTGGCCCCACTCTCACATGGAAACCTTCCCACCTGTGGCGGCCCACAGTGAGCCAGAGCATGGGGGCCTGCAGTCTGAAATAAGTACTGATGGAGAAGGCAAGAAGGCCTAGAGTCCATGCATAAGGCACCCTGCTTTCAGACCTCATAAAGCCCCTGTTCCTCCAGAGCCTGTGTAGACCTGGGCAGCCCTTTTACAGCAACCTGTTAGACCAGTTTTAATCTAAAACAAATTTGAGCTTTGCCAGAAATTCAACCAGTGGGCTCCCCACCCTTCACCAATTCAGTTGGGCTACATAGCCAGTCAACCAGGGAATCACTCCAGTAGTCACTCTTGGGCAGCAGGCTACGTCTGAGACTGAGACAGAAGAGGCTCCTGGAGGTTTGATTCTGGCCAAATCGCAGCCCAGGGATGGCTGAAGAGTGGCTTGGCAGGCTTTGGGGAAATGTAGAGAAAATGGAAGCTGATAACTCATCATGAGTCCAAGGAGATGCAGAGGTACAGGAAGGGAGGGGGGAGGCCAAAGTGATGCCCTCAGTGGGAAGACAACTATTTTCATGACACAAGCCTGGTAGAAGCAGGCAGGGCCCAGTATGCACGAGGCAGCCTCTGAAGACTGAAGACCTTGGGACTATCCCAACTCCTCCAGATAGTCTTCCAGGACCCTTCCATTCTCACAGCCCAGTGTGGTGAATATACTGACACCAGAGACGCTGTGATGGTATGGTTAAAAGGGCGTAGTATCCAGCAAATTCTCTCCAGGGGCAGAATCCCACTCCAGGGACTCTACCCTTTCCAGCACCAATGAGCCAGACTCTTCCTATTGCCAGAGCTGGACTTCTTCTTCCCCAGAGGTATGTATTTCACTGGACTCTTGAGTTAGGTAAAGCTGTATTCTCAGTGGCTCTCAGCCCCCATCCTGTCCCCTGCCCCAAGTGCTCCACTTTCCCTGCCCCCACCAGCCCCACCTCTAAGCACATCACAGCGCTGCGCTGCGTGTGTTGACCTTTCCACTTGGTCAGCATTCCTTTGTTTTTTCTTAGCTCCTTCAGGAACTGCCAGGTTATTAGGTCCTCAGGAAACTTTCTCCTCAAAATTTAGTGGGACACTCCAGGGAAGTGAAGGCTTATTCAGAAAGAGGTGAGCTCCCAGGGCAGTGGGCAGGAAGTGAGCAACAGGAGTGGCCTCTGTGACTAAGCCCACTGTTAACCTGGCCTGAGGGTGCCTGTGTGTCTCAGCAGGTAACCTCGGGGTGCCTGGGGGAAGGCAGAGAAGGCCTTCCATGAACACCCTGCCCCCACCCTGGTGAGGTGTTTTCTCCAGAAAAGAGTTACAGCAGCTGTGGCTGGAGGCCTCTTCCCAGGAAGAACAGAGTGCCTCTTCCAAGAACTCGGAGGAGGGTGACAGGAGGGAGAGCGGGGGAGTTAATTTTAAACCAAACAGCCTTCAATGCTTCTCAGGAACTTAGTTGCTCAACATGATCTGACAGGTCCCAGCGGGTGGGCAGGCCTGGTGCCAGCTCAGAGGTGGTGGGGTGGAGGACACATCCCAGAGGGGAGGGCTGGTGACCTTGATGGAATTTGGGCCTTGTCCTTGCCCACCCACTTGAGTCTGTCACTTCCATGACCCAGCCCACCTTGCTGGAGGGTGTGAAGTGATATGATCTACTCAGTTGTAAGCAGGTGAAATAAAATTATAATAGGATTAATGATGTAGGTGTCATGCCTGTCCAATGGCTTTAATCCTGACCTGACTGTCCCATACCTCTTCCCTGTTTAAAACCTTCCACTGTCCCCTGGCATATCCCTTTAGAGGATATCTGATGAAAGCCTGCTCTGAGGCCAGGGTGGGATCTGGGCCAGTTTTGCATGGGATGAGACCCCTAGGTACTGGGCTAGTGGTGTGGGGAGGTGGAGGGTAGAAAGCAGCAAGCTTGGGGAATTTCTGGGTCAGGAAGTGACTTGCCTTTTTGTGGAGAGAGAGCACGTGGACCTGTCCCCATGGCTGATTGGGATTAAGGCACCTTCACTTCACTGATCTGTCTCCAGCCTCCCTGTGGTCACCCCTCCTGGCCAACAGCCTGGGCCCACATCCTAGCTTCTGGTCCACAAAATGCCTTCCCTACAGAAGCCCATTCTGAGCCCCACCCCTGCCCCTACCCCAGCCTATTAGACCCCGGCAGCCTGGGAGGGGCAAGGCCTAGGTTCTAGGAAAGAATCCTGAGCAAATGCTGCCAGGAGCTGCAGTTCTTGGAACCAGCGTTGGCAGGCGAGGGGACGCTTCCTGGAATCTGCTTGCATTCTGGGGAGAGAGACTCTGAGGACAACCAGTGACTATGGTGGGGGAGTAGGGTGCTGAGGCCTCAGCTCGGGTGCTCACCTCCAGGAAGCCCTCCGTGACTGCAACTGCCTCCTCAGGCTCCCTCTCTTAGGGCTGGAGTTGCTGGGCCACTCTAAGGGCTCCTACAGGGAGGGCCTGGACCTAACATAGGCCTGTGTGGTGCTAATGTACAGCTTGAGACCTAGTAGAAAACCAGAAACCTAGTGTGGGTAGGTGAAAATGGGGCACATGTGTCTGTAGGCAACTGTGGGTGTAGGAACATAGGTGAAAGGGGGATGTTAGGCATAACATACTATGGGCAGTGAGCAGCAGGGTTGATGGGCCAAGGATTAGCAGGTAGGGGCCAAGGCGGGGCCAGCATGCTGGGCCCTGCTCACCCAGCCCCTCTTGCTGGGAGGCTGGCAGCCTCAGGCTCCTGAGACTCCTTCATACCAGCTTTGTCCTTGCCTTCAGGGTCCCATCCCCTAGCAGGAGTATAGGCCTCAGCTTCAGCATCAAGCCACCCAGCATACTCCTGGGTTCATCACCCAATTGCTCAGCCTTGAAACTGGAGCCTTGATTGCCACATTGGAGAACAGAGAAGAGTGGTTACAGGTGGGTAGGCACCAGTCCCAGCCCTATCTCCTGGGAAAATTGTGGAGGGTATGACCCAGCCATGGGCCTGGGTTGGGGATTGGCTGCACTAAAAGGGTGTACATGCGTGTTACCATCACAGGACCCCAGGTGTTCCCATCAGAGCAGGAACCCTAAAGTCTGGCCAACAGACTAGGTTGCAGGTTACAGTCAGCATAGAGAGAAGTAAGGGTCCCTTCTCTGACTGAGGTGTGTCCCACAGCTTTTTAACCACTTCAGACCTATTTACCTTCAGAATGGAGAACCCAGCATGGCAGGCAGGGACTGGCCTCTCCACTCATGTCCTTAGGTCATTCCTTGGCTCACAGAGCACAGATCCAAGGCTGCTACCCACCCTCACACCCCATGTGACAGAGAAGAAACTGGTAGCATTCTCTTGGGACCAGTATTGGGATGGAAAGGCTGCATCAGGGCCCAGGATGGTCATGAAGTGGGGCCTAGCAGGGGGCTTTGGGGCTGTGGACCTCCAACCTTCAAAGGTGGCCCAAGCAGAGGTGGCCCAAGGAAAGTTCATCGTTGCGCTTGTGCTTTGAAGCATGCAGTCTTTTGAGGCCACGTGAGGTGCTGGTAGGAAGAGAAACGCTTCATTTCCTAGAGCCCCTGGTGCCTGACCCCATCAGATACTGTTGACCTGGGGCTCACAGAGCCTGGATCACAGTTACTGACCATTCCAGAGCTAGGTTACCTTTATCATGAACAAGCCATGACCTTTGAAACTCAGTTTAGCCCTCTGAAGGGATAATGTTATTACTTACCTTATGGAATTATTACAAGGAATATATTATAGTTTGATTTTTTTTTTTTTTTTTTTTGTCCTTGGGATCTCCTCTCTGGGTCCCCTTCCAGCCCTCCAGCTCCACCACACCATGAACACTTTCTCTGGCTCCTTTTGCAAGAAGAAGTACCTGAGGCCATGTCTGCTTTTCATTCCCCTGAAGCACAAGCCCTGATGTTTGTGGTGCAGGAAAGAGGACAAATTTAAGTCCTCAGACCAGAATATAAATATTGGAAAATCATAAACTACATACCACTAGACTCTGTCCATATATGGTTTTCATATGCCTGAAAGTCAGTAGATATCAAAGATGAATGAATTTAATGTCACTGCTCACTTCTGGGCAATCTGGGCAATCAGTGATGGGCCTGAGATTTAAGTAAGAGAATAAAGACATGCCTCACTCAGAAGTTATTTTGAATTCTGTAATACTAATTATTCTTGCCTTTATTCCAATAAAATAATTATATTGTTATAATTAAAATGTTTGCATAATTACTGTTTTCTTGGCAGTAATGATTTACAAAATTAAAATAATATACCATATTCAAAAAGCATAAAAATAGGTTAGAGTAAATAAAACATTTAAAAATGTGTTTAAAATTGTTCCCAATATGTTTGTTTTGTTTTTTTCTTTTATGTGTTTATTTTTGCAGTGGCAGGGATCAAAAACGGCACCTTGCATGCTTTTCTACTAAACTACCTCAGTTCCCTTTTTAGAGACAGAGTCTTACTACTCTCATACTTCCAAGTAGCTGGAATTACAGGTCTATCCCACCATATCTTGCTCAAAAAGTTCTTTTTTAAATAACTAAAATAGGGCTGGGGAGATTGCACATGGTCTAAGCATCTGCCTGGCAAGCTCAAGGACCTGGGTTTGATCCCCTAGTACCAAATGCCATGCCAGCCACCAAAACCTGGCATGGTGGCACATGCCTGTAATCCCAGCACTGGGGAGGCTGAGACAGGAGGATCACTGTGAGTCTGAGCTGCATAGCAAGACCTTGTACAAATAAATATTTTTTTAAAAGATTAAAATAATCAAAACAAGGCTAGGTATATGGCTTAGTAAGAGAGTGCTTGCCTAGCATATAAGGTTTGAGTTTGATTCTCCAGGACCAGAAAATAAACAAAATTCAAAATTATCTAGTAAAAGTGAAATGAAATAAACTACATGTCATAATAAATTAATGTCATAATAAATTTAAATTAAAATTATTTAAAACAAATTTTCTTAACGGTATGGATTGGGGGCATTGTTTTTTGTTTTTGAGACAGTCTCACTAAGTAGTTCAGGCTGGCCTTGAATTTGTTTATATAGCCCAGGCTGGCCTCGAACTCATAGCAGTTCTCCTGCCTGAGCCTCAGCCTCAGCCTCCTGAGTGTTGGGATTACAGGTATGTGCTACCATGCTTGGCCATGGGTTGTTTTTGTAGGGACTTGGGCTCTTGGTGTACCCCAGGTAGGAACCGCAGTGAGAATGAGAGAAAGAAAAGAGACAATAGCTGAGTTAAATGAAGATCCTTTCTCTCCTAAGCCAAGGAGAGGAACTATCCAAGAATGGCTGTGTTTAATTATACTCTTGAGAGGTTGATATTAATTTTAGCCTCTTTACCCAGCAATCATTTAGCAAGTTGCAACAGCTTGTTTGCTTGCTTTGAGGAGCTCATGTTCTTGAGTGGGCTTTGTCCTGCACGCATAATTACTTTCCAGCGTCAGCTGGTCCCAACAGTTTTTTGAAACAGGATAC